CGCTCTTCCCTGGTGGCGCAGTGGTTAAGAATCCACCTGCCAATGCAGGGGACACGGGTTCGAGCCCTGGTCCGGGAAGATCCCACATGCCGCAGAGCAACTAAGCCCGTGAGCCACAACTACTGAGCCTGCGCTGTAGAGCCCACGAGCCACAACTACTGAGCCACATGCCACAACTAGCCCGTGCGCCTAGACCCTGTGCTCCGCCACAAGAGAAGCCACCGCAAGGAGAAGCCCGCGCACCGCAACGAAGAGTAGCCCCCACTCGCCGCAACTAGAGAAAGCCGGTGCGCAGCAATGAAGACCCAACGCAGCCAAAAATAAATAAATAAAGTTAAAAAAAAAAAGTACATTGAAAACTACACACGCAGAGTTTTTAGGGAGCAGGTTTCCATAGGGCCCTGACTTGTTTTAGCTACAGCATTCTTTTGTGAGGTTTTTGGCAGCCTCGGCAGGCCTGGAATGCCACTCTGTGAGCTGGGACAGTGGGACTGCAGGACTGCAGAGTAGGGGCAGGGGCTGAGGGCAGGCCTTGAGCTCTCCATGTCACGTCACAACAGGGAGCTGGGGACCCTCCGCGGGGAGAGCAGATCTGGGAGCAGGCGTGTGCAAGCAGGTGGCATTGTCCTAGAGTGAGTCCCCGGCCTCCCTATGCTCTGCAGGTGCCTGACTCCATTACCTCTGGTCGCTTCCAATGACCAGTTTCTGTTTTGTTGTCAGGACTCTGGCTCATTCTGTGTATTTATTTTTTTTTATTGGAGTATAGTTGATTTACAATGTTGTGTTAGTTTCAGGTGTTCAGCAAAGTGAGTCAGTTATACTTTTATTTTTTATTTTTTTGGCCTCGTGGCTTATGGGATCTTAGTTCCCCGACCAGGGATTGAACCTGGGCCATCGGCAGTGAAATCATGGAGTACCAACCACTGGCTGGACCGCCAGGGAAGTCCCTCCCTAGGCCTTTTGACTTTGCCCCAATTGTGGTTGGAGGATACAGGCCCCCGACACCAGCAGCCCAGCAGGTGACAGTTAGGAAAGTCAGGCAGGTGGCAGGAGAGTGACAAGCAAGAGGGGCCAGGCCTGCCTCCAGGAATCTCCCAGGACTCAAGTCCCCTGGACATTGCGGCGTCCTTCTAATGGCCCGTGGTCCTACCTGAGGTGACCAGGAGCTGGTCTGAAGGCACATCCCAAAGAGACACAGCAACCCCTACTCAGGGACAAGTGGCCACTGCCCCCTGAGCTCTCATAGACAGATACAAACCCTCTGCACTGGACCCCCTTCCTGGGAAAGGGCTCAGCTTTGAAGACTTCATTCTGCTGGCAGAAGGCCAGGGCTTGGAGGGTGATGCAAGTGACATCACATAGAACACAGTCAGTGACTGACCGCTTGGGCCTGGCTGGGCCCCGCGCTTCGCTGAGTGCTTTGGGCAACTGAATAATTGTCATACCCGGGCAAAGGGCCAAGGAGGCTTCGTTCTCTGTGTCCCCTTCCCCCTCGGGCTGTGACATCAGCCTTTGCATTGACCCACAGCCCCTCTTCCAGCAGAGGGTGCCAGCTCCATCCCGGCTGCCCTTCCTGACATCATGGGGTGACCGTCCCTTGTACTTGGGTACAGACCATCTGCAGGGCAACCCACAGGCCAGCCTGGCCATGCAGCTGACCCTTCAGGAAACCTGAAGGACCCAGGGGTGTCTTTTCTCCAGCGGAGCCACAGCTTTCAAGGTAGAGAACGAATGCAAAATCAGGCAGAGAAGCGAGGGAAGAAACTTGGCAACGTTCAGAACAGTCTCTAGTGGATCCAGAGCGGCCGACAGCCTTATATGGGCCTTCTCTCCAATTCGGGCCCTGGAGATTCAGGCCGTCAACAGTATCCATAATCCCAGGCTGCAAACAAATTGGGGAACTTTTTCTTGGTCCCAGGCCAGTAGCCCTTCTTAAGTCCTTGGTCCAGCCGTCAGTGGGATGGACAGAGACGGGGAGAGAGCCATCGGGGAGCAGACTTAGGGTTCCTCGGAACCCCTGCTTGACTTATTTGGAGACAATAAACTGTTCTCAGCAAGTGGAGGCCAGAGTCTTGGCCAGATTTTGTTCTACACACAAACAGGTGTGGGGAGCACCGTTTGCAAGATGGGATGGGGGTGATGACGGGAGGCTGATGTGTCCCCTGCCTTCCCGAGGCCGAGAGCCCCAATCAACAGGTGAAAAAGAAGGCTTTTGTGTAAAGGACACGGCAGATGCTACTCTGCTTCATTAGAAGCTTTTTTTTTTTGTGGACTAGGTCTGTAATGTCAGCCTGAAGAAAGCAGAATAAACAGCCCTTAAGCAAATGAATACAGTAACCCCAGAGAAGGCTCCGTGACAAATAACTTTTTCCGTGAGTCAGACTGAAAGCTAACATCCACTTGTTTTATAAAGGGGAATGCTTTGTCATTTATCACCGTCGGCCCCTGCTCACAAGCTCGGGGTGTAGACCAGGCGGAGCCTGTCCAAGGGGAATGGCCCTTTGAAGCGGCAGCCCTCACCCTGCAGTGGATTGAAGGCTTCTGGGGTTGGTGCTCATAGCTGAGCCGCGCTATGGCTTGTTGGCTGCCATCAAAAATCCCCATAAACAGCCGCCAGGGAATTGCTCATCTTCATCCCCCACTGGATGGAGAGGGTGAAGCCAAGACACCCCAGATCTTGCAGCTGTCTGAGCAAGATTTAAAACCAAGACCTTTGGTCCTAAAATCTGCATCTGCTGAGCCCAAGATTGAATATTTAATATTAACCCACAGGCCCATTAGGAGAATGTTCTCTCTGCGTGGGAAATGCTTTTTCCTTCAGTGGCTCCCTGTTGCCGCCACCCTGACTCCTCTGCCTTCTGCCAGGGTCGCCCGGCCAGGCAGGGATCTGGACGGAGAGAAAACGCGTCTGTGTGATCATCCCCACTCAACCCTGCAATGGAGTTCAAAGGAGGGACCTCATCCTTTGTTGTCTTGCCCCAGTGGGGAGAGATGAGGAGATGGGGAGAAATGGGGGCCGTGTTACCGCTCACTGGGGTCCCCAAGTCAGAGCCCAGACCCAAAAGCGCTGCCCCTTCTCCTGCAGTGCCCCTGTGTGGGCGGGGCGGACATGCCTCCCCAAGTCCAGCCTGAGGCCCCATGGAGTGGACGGCCTAGGAGGATGGGACTTGACTCCAAGACAAGCTGCATTTGTCCCCTTGCCCAGTCTGGGCCGAGCGTGCACGGGAACAATACCCATATTCATCGGGGTTTGCCAGCAAGGCCACGTGACTTGACATCACGACAGATGTGGGGAGGGGACGGGCAGAGGACAAACACTCCCTTGTGTGCGCCCCTCGCTGTGCTGCCCGGGAGTCTCAGCCACGGGCCACTGCGAGGTTTGCTGCCTACCCAGCTCCGGCCTGGGAGGAGGGTACGGATGTGGGACGGTGAAATCACTGTGACACCTGCCAGGGTTCTCATCGCAGTGTCCTGTTGTGTATAGTGGCGAAGCGTGCCTACTTTAGGGAGGTCTCCCTGCTCCCAGCGAGGGGACAGCAGAGAGGGAGCAACACATCTGTGAAATTCGGCATCAGAATCGTGATTATTCACAATTGTCGTCCATCCTTCGTATTGTGAAGATTGACAGTAGCTGACTGTACGTCAGCTATACCTTAATAAAAAGATTAAAATTTTTTAAATTAAAGTTAGAAAGATTAGCAGTAGCTAGCACTTGTTGTGGACGTTTGGAGCATATGGCCTAATCCTCACAGCAATCCTTGCGGTGGGCATTTCTCCCGTCCCCAGTTTGCAGATGGAAGACAGTTACACAGAGAGATAAGTGGCCTTCTCGGGGTCACAGAGCTGGCTTTCAAACCCAGGCATTTGGGGCTCTCAACGTGTGACAGGAGGCCCCTCCCAGCAGTGGACAGAACATGCCTGCATGCCAGGGGGGCCCCTCCCAGCAGTGGACAGAACATGCCTGCGTGCCAGGGGGGCCCCTCCCAGCAGTGGACAGAACATGCCTGCATGCCAGGGGGGCCCCTCCCAGCAGTGGACAGAACATGCCTGCGCACCAGGGGGGCCCCTCCCAGCAGTGGACAGAACATGCCTGCATGCCAGGGAGGCCTAGGATTTCTTTGCCAGTTTTCCTGGGGCCGATGGGGGGTGGAGGAGGGAACCGGGGAAGGGGGTGGTCACTGCAGGTCAGCTGTGCTTCTCAAGAATATAACTGCACGATGGGCCCCTCTGGGCATTCCCTGGGGGAGTGTGGAATGACTAGGGCCGGGGCTGTGTCCCACTGTGTCTCCCTGTCCCAGGCCAGAGTTGTGGAACTCACAGCCCTTCACCACCCTTTCTGCACTGGACACCCCAACTGAGTGCTTAGAAACCTTGTCACTCACCTTCCCTCTAGCAAGGAGGATCCTTTCCACTCTTAACCTGGTGTAACTGAATTGCAGCTGTAAGATCTCACTGGTGTGCTATAAGGGATCTTTTGAAATTTTCTAGCAACGAACTTCTCATTTTACGAATAAGGAAATTGTGATCTTACCCAAGATCACACAGCCGTTAGTAGCAGAGTTGGGACCAGAACAAGGGTCTTCTGACACCCAGGCTGTTCTTTGCACTAGAGCAGGGTTCTCGTGCCCTCGGACGTTGCTAACTGTGCAGGCCTGGCTGCCACCAGGCGGCAGGGCGGGAAGGCATCCCCTCTGGGAATATGGCAGAGCTGGCCCGCCCAGAGCGTGGGTGTCTGCGTGTGCACAGCCCC